CTTTCTCCGACATCAGGACTTTCCAACAATAATGTCTTTAAATATTCACTATGCATCTTAAAAAGTTTGTTATCACTAAAAAAACACTAAATCCGGCTAAATTCAGCTAAAAGTAAATCAAACAATTAACCTCAACAGACCACAGCTGTCAATTTTGACCACGTGGTTTGGAATGCCTAATTCGCGTATGTAACCTAAAAGAGTTTGTCAAATGTCGAAGGTTGATTTTTGAATCTCCCGGCAGAGACTTGTCTCTGCTCCCGGTTGAACTCGTCTTTATCTATTGGTTGGAGCCATTGGGCACTCGCAATACTCGTCTTTATCTATGCCATTGGGGTCCAAGAAAAACATTGGGGATTTTAAGCGAGATCAAAAATAGTTTTGCTTCAATTTCCTAAGTTATATTGAAAATATTGGCATCATTTCAGCGGTGAATTCGTAGTTTTCGGTAGAGCAGCACCTCCCACCATAAAAATAAATTTCTAAGGGATCTTGCTTCGATTTGGGTGACGTTAGTGGAAATCACTGCGTTTCGTGATTTTTTCCTGTCTGCTTAATGTGATTAAATATAGCTTATTTAGTCTTTCTCACATTTAATTATTTGCTAATAAATCTTGTTTATAATTACAAAATACTTTGCAGCAGGTTTTAAACCTGAAAATGAAAAGTAACAAAAATTTATTTATTTTGTAGGCTCGCATAGTTGCCAGATGTGCAATAAAGTATAGTGTTTGCTTTTGGGAAGTACCCCAAAAGTTCGAATTGCAAATTCCGCTCATAATCATTATTTTTGAAATGCTGAGGGCATATTCGTATCCGCACGACAACCAACATTCTCCCATAGGTTGCACACGTTCTACAGTAAACTTTCCAACTACAAAACGCAAAATGCTGAGTTGTTTGTCTACAACATTCCTAAATACGCCCAAACGCATTCACCCCATGATTTAATGAGTTCATTGAATGATACAATGAATTAATTGTTTCGGTTGCCTCTACCCGATTTTACAAATGACACTCTGGCAACACAGCAAGCTAAAACGCTGATAATCAGAGATTTTGTAAACACTTTTTTAGGGTATTTTTCTTCGCAATAAGCCCAAATCAGGTCCCAAATGCGATTTTGAAAGCATTGAGCTATACAACAATGCAAACCATATACTCATATAACTTTCCACTTTTGAACTATTGCGTTTTAAATTCAATGAAAATCTGTCTAGGTTACATGCATTTTAAATGGGATCAGCTGTTTACTTTACCAAAGTGCTAACCAGTGACGTCATGTGCGCACGAAAATCGAGTTTTCGACGAATTAATATCCTACCTTGTATTCATTGTATCATGCGGAAAACCTGCCAAAACCACAGATCACAGAGGTAATCTGTGGTCAAAACGGCATCAGCCCTACACTGGTTGATTATATAGGTTATGTTTCTTTGCTGATTTTTACAGGTTATATGTGCCAGTTTGTAGTTCAAAACTCCTTATTTTCTACACAAAACTGCTTATTCGGGGTATAGTTTTGGTGTCCAACCACTCAGACCGATGGCTGAAGAATACAAGTAAGCCTACTGCTTTAGGGCCCTCTAAACTAGTGCTCGGAATTATTAAAAACCTGAAATTCGAATTGAATACTCGAGTATTCAACAAATATTAGAGTATTCAACTAGTGAAGAAATTATAAGTACATGATTTCAATGTGATGATCAAAAACCATGTAAATATACAGGATTTTTCACAGCCACCCCCTCTAAATTTTCAAATGGCATCATAGCATGTGTGGCACATCGAATTTCTTTAGGCCTCAATTTTATGCGAATTCACAAAATAAATAATTGAAAACACTCCTTATAAAATAAGGAAATGCTTGTAGAATATATAAATAATTTATTTTATAAAAGTATACAAAGTGAGTTTGATAATGTTGGTGTATTCGAGTATTCGAATAATGACTAGACATGGTTATTCCCTTTTTGAATATTTGAATACTCAAACACTCGAATTATTCGAGTTTGATTCCGAGCCCTACTCTAAACGACTTTCTCCTGTTCTAAAATGTAGATCCCTTCACCCTTTGAAGTACTACCGCGACTATTTCGCCCATGATATCAGGCCGGATGGGCGCGAGTTCGCAGACTACCGACCTGTGATCGTAAACGTTGGTTCCATATCGACTGCCGATGGTTCCGCGATCGCCAAAGTGGGAAAAACCACTGTTATTTGCGGCGTCAAAGCGGTGAGAGTTGGCTCCTCAATTGGTAGCATTTTGCTCATCAGTGATCTTGCAGGAGCTCTGCCGGCCGCGGCCCGAGTGCCCCAACAAAGGGTTTTTGGTGCCCAACCTGGAGCTGTCGCCCTTGTGCTCTTCCAAGTTCAAATCGGGGCCCCCTGGCGAGGAGGCGCAAGTTTTAACGCAGCTCATAGCGGATGTTATTGAAAATTCCCGGTGAGTTTGGTGTGGCCATGCACGCTTCCTGCATAAGCGTAATATCCCCATTGGTTTCCAGCTGCATTAACTTGGAGGAACTGTGCCTTTTAAAGGATAAACTAGCCTGGTGTTTGTATGCTGACTTGGTGTGCTTGGACTACGATGGGTCGCTGCTGGACGCCTGCATAGTGGCGCTGATGGCCTGCTTGCGTTCAGGTAATGAAATAATCACGTCTATTCCATTGTTCACGTTTGGATTGTTTAGTTACCCTGCCGCACATCGACTACGATCCTGCGTTGGACGTGAAACAAACCAACCTGCAGGAGAGGCGACATATCGCGGTCCATTCCATGCCGCTGGCCTGCACATTGGCGATTTTCGACGAGTATTAGCTGTCGGTTTAGTTGCTTCCTTTCCAAACTGAGATCTTTGGCTTTCAGCAAAATCCTGCTAACCGACCCGACAGTGGAGGAGGAGAACTTGAGCAGTGGCTCAGTGACTGTGGTGATCAACGGGGACGAGTTATGTTCGGTACACAAACCAGGCGGCAGCATTCTGTCCGAGGACCAGCTGCTGGACTGCATAGGAAAAAGCCAGGCGCGCGCGAAAAGCCTCCAGGAACTAATCAACAGTGCTGTGAATGCTGCGAATAAAATGGGATAGTTATTGGTAGATGTTGTTTCATTATTCCTGCCACTGTTCGTATCTCTGACTGATAACCTTTTGACTAAAAAAACGGATTCACTATTGTGTAGATCGCGGGCGCAAGCCATGCATGGTACGCCGTTGCTCTTGGCCGTGCTCCTGCTGTGCCTGGGGCGCAGCTCCCGGGCTGGGGAAGAAAACTGGATAATTGAAGTGTCCGGGAACTGTTCGTGTGTGCCGTATTATCTCTGTGACAACACTGGGTACATTAAAACAGACGGGGTCGGATTGCTAGATGAACGGTAATGAGTAACCCTGTCCGAGTTTCCAACTGGTATTTTTCTGTCCAGGACAGGAGGCGAAAATCCTACATTCTGCTCAGGTGGAACCCACGAGGCAGAGCTGGTCTGCTGCAAGTTGCGCCCTCAAGCTCCACCGAGCACCAGCACCGTTTCAACTTCTTCGGACCTCGAACTGTTCAAGAGCGTAAGAAGCACTGTTGATGATTGATAGCGTAAGAGACGTTTTTTTTGGTTCAGCCCAGGCAGATGCGTTGCGGCATGCAAAGAACTACCATAGATGTGCGTCTGTTGGAAGGCGACGATGGGCTTTCGCCCATCGACGGCGAATTTCCCTGGATGGCTGCCATTTACAGCAGGGATTCGTCCCGATGGAAGCGCCAGGGCTCCGGATCGCTCATCCATCCACAGGCAGTTCTAACTGCCGCCCATGCAGTTCCAAGGTATAAGTACAGGGTTATTCACGCTATACGGCACGGACGTTTGCGGTTAGCCCGTTTGTTTTTTGCAAAGTATTATTTGATGAATCGACAGACGCCTATCGG